TTTTGTTATATTTGTGGATGAAAAGGGGGCCACATGCTCAGGGGAGGCCTGCATGGCGGCCTTGCAAACTGAGAGACCTAAAGTAACCACAAAGGATGGTCTGAAATGAAATCTATTTTTAACTAAAAAGCAGTTTATGGTGGGTAATCATGCCCTAGGCCATTATCTTCCCTGACAGAGGTCAATCTTTACCTTAACTGAGCCTGTCTGCTGTCTTTTGCATCTATGATAAGTCATTGGAATGTCAAAGTAATTTTCCTTTTCCTGGACCCCTCAAAGCACAGTCACTGCTCTGGGGAGACCACAGATCCCTCATTGTGACTGAGCTGATTGTAGACTGTTAACTGTCCCGCACTCACCTAAGTAAAAGAAGTGTGTGTCCATCGTTTCACTTTTTATCCAATCCCAGAGGTTTCCCGCTTTGTTTCTCCCGCCGCCTCCTCACCAGTGGATTTCATGTAACTGCCATTCTCAGGAGCATTATCTCAATCCGTTGAGATTCTGCTTCACATCACGTGTCGACAGTTTGGCTCAAATAAACTCACAAAAATTCTTCACAGGTTTGAATGTTTATGTTAACATATTTAATACCGTATCCATAATGTCTAGAACATATGGTAAGCACACAATATATCTTTTTGAGTGAGTGAATCAATGCATGCCACCTCTCACTGTTCTCCAGTCACACTGGCTTTTATTTCTTGGATATATGAGGGCTTTTTTTTTAAAGCTTTATTGACCTATAATTCACATACTGTAAATTGCCCTTTTGAAGTGTACAATACAGTGGTGTTTAGTATACTAATTCAACTGGGCAGCCATCACCACTAATTCAAGATCATTTTCATCGCCCAAAAAGGAACGCCATACCCATTAGCAGTCACCCCCGATCCACATCTCCCCCAGCCCTAGGAAACCACCCATCTTTTCTCTATGCCTTCGCCTGTTCTGGACATTTCATATAAGTGGAATCATATAGCAGGTCTTTTGTGCCTGGCCTTTTTCACCTAGCATGTGTTTTAAAGGATCATGCTGTAGCATGTATTAGTATTTCATTCTTTTTGTGGACAAGTAATATTGCGTCGTATGGCTCTACCACCCTTTGTTCATCCATCAGTCGATGAACATTTTGGGTTATTTCCACTTTTTGGCATTAGGAATAAGCCATTCGGGATATGAAAAAAATAAAGGTTCTAGGAAAGTCATCAAGACTGTGTTTGTGGGGGGGCTGATAACTAAGGATTGGAAAATATATGAGAACATTGTCATGTTTCATTTCCCACCCCCATCTCAGAATTTTAGTTCCTAAGTTACCTATATAATGTTTTTTTTCCCCTCTGCTGACTTCTCCATCACATTCTTGGAAGGGTAAGTTATTTCAAAGACCTTTAAGAAAATATATTGGTAAAATATATTGATCTAGGGATCAAGAGTAGGGAGTAAAAATAGCTGGCCTGAACAGTTCATGTACTTTGCCCCACGGCAACTCTATAAAGCATGCTCATGTCTTTTACAGATGAAACAGTAATAAAGAAGTCACCCAGCTAGTATGTATAAACGTTAGAATTTGAACTCAAGTCTGCATGCTCTTGCTTTAATGCTAGGAGTACTTGTGTCCCCGATGAACCCAGCCTGACAAATTTCCTAGGAACCTCAGGACACGATACTTTTGATTGAGAGGTTAGCTGTTAAACTGCTTTCATTAAGCTGCATGATGAAAGCACAATATATTCAAAAGGTATAAAAATGCAGTTATTCAGCACGTACACAGGAAGGGCGCTAGTTTTTGCTCAGACAAGTTCCTTTTATTTCCTCTTCGCTTCTGAATCACTTTTACCCACATTTCTTTTTCTGTTGAGGTATAACATCCCTAAAATGTGTAAAATGCACTCATTTTTAGTGCATAGCTCAGTGACTTTTAAACATATTGGTATCCACAAGTCAACCTCCAGATGAAGACAGAACATGTCTGCAGCACTCGGGAAGCTTTCTTTCAGGCCTACTGGGTCCCCGCTCACTGTCACCCACAGGTAGCCTAGTGGGACTGAGGAAATTGTGTGTTGTCTGTTCTTGAACTTAGAAATGCAATATTCATTTTTTTCTCTGGCTTCTTTACTTAGTATGAAGTATGTGAGACTCACCCATGGATGTTAACAGGTCTTTCTATCATTGTGCTCTAGCCGACTGCTCTTCTTGATTGAGGTATAATCGATGTGTAACATTATGGGTTTCGGCTGTGCAAATTTTGCTATTTGCACACATTGTGAAATGATCACGAGTCTAGTTAACATCCAGCACCAGTCACAAAAGGATTTTTCTTGTCTTGTGAAAACTTTTAAGATCTCGCAGCCCCTTTCAAATATGCAACACAGTATTATAGGCTACAGTCGCCGCGCCGAGCACTGCAAGCCCGTGTTTATTTCGTACCTTTTGACCCCCGTCAGCACCTCTGGCAACCACCAATTTACTCTCTGCATCTGTGAGCTGGTTTTGTTGTTGGATGTGCAGATCTATTTTCCAGTTACTGTTTTCATTTCCTTCAGATAAATACCTGAAAGTAGAATTGCTGGATCGCACGGCAGTTCTGTTTTTAAGTTTTTTAGGAGCCTCCATACTGTTTTCCATGGTGGCTGCACCAATTTACATTCCCACCAACAGTGCACGAGGGCTCCCTTTCCCCACATCCTGGCCAACACTTCTATTTCTTACCAAATACTTATTTTAACAGGTGAAGTGAGGTGACGTCTCATTGTGGTTTTGTGTTTCCCTGATGTTTGGTGATGTTGAGCACCTTTCTGGATACCTGGTGGCCATCTATATGTCTTCTTTGGAAAACTGTCTATTCAGATCTGCCCATTTTTAAATGGGGTTGCTTGGGGGTTTTAGCTGTTGAGTTGTATGACTTATTTCTATTATTTTGGATATTAATCCCTTATCAGATATGTGATTTGCAAATGTGTTCTTCCATCCAGTAGGTTGCCTTTTCATCTTGATGGTTTCCTTTGCTGTGCAGAAACTTTTTAGTTTAGCGTGGTCCCACCTGTTTTTTACTTTTAGTGTCAGGTTTTAAAAATATCACCACCAGACCAGTATCAAAGAGCTTACCCACCTATGTTTTCCTCTAGAATGTTTATGGTTTCAGGTCTTGATTTTCAAGTCTTTAATTCATATTGAGTTCATTTTTGTGTATGGTGGAAGAGAGTGGTCTAGTTTTCTCACCATTTATTGGAGACTGTATATTCTAGGCTCCTTTGTCATGTTAACTGACCATGAGTGCATAGGTTTATTTCTGGGCTCTCTTGTTCCTTTGATCTGTGCCTATTTTTATGCCAATGCCATACTATTTAATTATAGTTTTGCAATTGGTTTGAAATGCATCTCCCACGCTTAGCTTTGTGATGTTTCATGTCACAGAACGTTGAGAGTGGAAGGGGCTTTGGGGATTTTCCTGCCTCCTTCAGCTCCACGTACTGAGGAACTGTGAACATGCTGAAGAGTGTACATTTGCCAGCCAAGGCCTCCCACCAAGGTCTCTTCACTCTTCATCAGTTCCCTTCTCATCTACACCTTCCTACATAGCACCTGGCATGTATGTTCAGGGAATGTTAAATATTTACACACAAGCACAATGGAGAGGAGAGCCACTGGTAGAACTCAGTGGCTTATCTTTGGGGAAAGTGGGGGGGAACCTAAATGAAAAGCTTGTTAGCAGCACTTCTAAAAACCCTGCAATGAAGCAGCCCATTTACAGTTCTGAAAAGGGCCCCTTATCTGACCGAGGACTTTGAAAGGCCTGGAACCACAGGCCACTCCCATGGACCCTCCCCCACGGCCAGCAGTACCAGGAACATGAAGAATACATCCACCTTTTCTCTTTGCAAGGTTTCAGGTCCCCAGAAATCTTCCTTCAGCTGCTCAGAGATGTGGCCTAACCCATACCACATCCTGGATGTCACTTGGTTAATTTGTGTGTCAGGTGCCAATTTAGGCAGAGGTGGCCAAGGCCAGTTTGCTCCATTTCTGAATGGAAGGCTCGGGAACAGCTTCAGGGATGAGCCGAGTGGTAGGGGCAGAGGCATCCTGAGAACAGAAAGAACCCTCTTATTAACCCAGGAGAAGTTAAGGGGCAGGAAACTAGACTCTGGGCTAGGAGGGTTGAGTTGTATTCTAAGTGGGGTATGGGTGTCTGGGCTCAGCCACCAAGGAGAAAGCCCTTCTTATCTCAGTGTTTATAATTCTGTTCCTAAAACAGTCCTCAGCTCTGTTCAGGGGTAAATAAAGCTCCTGAAAGGTGGCACTCGCTTTCCTGTCTTGGAGACAGTACCGTTACCTGGTTTTCAGTAAGAGGAAAATCTAGATATAACCCACTAAATGAAAAGCAAGTGTCACTGGAGATGTACAACTGATGTGTCTATAACTTGGGTACAGGAAGTGATCGAAGTCCCTATTACTCAGTATGGCCCACAGACCAGCAGCAGGAGCGCTGCTGGGAGCTTGTTAGAAATGGGGAAATGTGGGCCTACCTCTGCCCACAGAGCCAGGGTGTGCACTTTAATACGAATCCCAAGCACGGCCCTAGTTCTTAGGGTCATTCAGGTAAAGTTGCAGACTAGCCCCATGAGGAACATTATTACATGCTGATCCACAGCCACGGGTTGAAAAGAGCTCTGCAGGACTTGCTGATTCTCAGTCTGTGGCTCCAGCTTAGGGGGGAGTGTGCAACAGCATCCAGGTTACTCAGCATCCCCCTGTGACCACTGGTGCAGCTGAGTAAAAGTAAATTTGCTTCCAGTGGCCCAGTGGCCATTTCAGCCAAACATCAAGTCCCTCCCCTCCCCACAGGGATTGACAGCTACAGGGCAGCTGAGGCATGTTCTTGTCACTAAGCTGCTTTCTAAAAACATCTGAGGACCACAATGAAAAAATAGTTTCACAAAATACGTAAGTTAATTAAAAAAAACCCACACCATCCCTTTAGTTGCAGAACTCACACATTCAAGTTTTCACAATGCCAATTCCATTCTTTTATTTCCTCATACCACAAACATTTTTGTTTATCTGCTTTTTTATAACCTGATTTACAAGCAAATTGCAAATGAAAAAACAGGCATTCCTATAAACAGGCTTAGCGGAAGCAGCTTTATCACAATCTCTTAAAAGTTTGCTTTACATTTAAATATTGATGCCTGTTAAGGTTTGCGGGATCTACTGTACATAGTTATTTCTGAAGCAGGTAAGACTTAACTAATTGGAAAAAAACTTCAACAAAATGCTCTAACAACAATTATTTACAATTAAACATTTAGGGTCCTGATTCACAAAACTTAGTGCATGTCATGATTTATTGAAGAGTTTCACAGAGAAGGTCATAAGTAGCATGTAGAATATCTGCCAGGTAAAATCTAGAGCAAATGGCTTGTAGAAGAACGTCTGTAATATGCTTACTGAAAACCAGAAAAAGTAACAATGCAGAAGCTGTAGCAACTGCACCTGATTTGGAAATTTAAATACACAGCAGCAACCAGAATAGACAGGGGCCACAGAAGGAGGACAGGTGCCATTTAACAAAATATTATGCATAGGAGCAAAACAATTCTCCATACACACACCCTTTTTAAACAAAAAAACCACACCCAATAATCACTACCTGTGAACTTAGGGTAATAGTCTCCTGCCTTTCTACTGAGTTCTCTTTAAAGCTAATGCATGAATCATCAAATTTAAACAAAGAAGGAAAGGACTTTTCATAACAGCCAAAGGGTTTTACTTGGCAGTTAGCCATTCCGATTACAAAAGAAACAGGTAAGGTGCCAGAAATCCAAGGTTACCCTAAAGCCCTTCAATGGATTCAACAGTGATTTTATGTACAAAACAAAGGAGATGACTCAAAATTAGCAAGACAAACTGTTTTTAAAGTGATAAATTTCAGTGAACCAGGTCCCAGGTAGTCTTTTTTCTTTTTTTTTTTTTAAGAAATTTACAGTAAACATTTTTAACTCTGGAATGCAGGGATAGTACAATTACTAGTACATTACATTTACAAAACTGCTTAGCTGTTCCAGAGTAAGAACTGGAAAATGTACAGGCCATTCCACAATGACTTTAGATGTGTTATTAAAATACATTGTTAATCATAAAAATACTTTACTATGTACATGTTCACTGTATAAACTCTAGATTCCTGCTGAAGGAAACCTTTAAGTCCATTTCCAGCCCAGTGGCCCAGGAAAGAGTACGGTTCCAGTACCAGGTTTTCATACCACGCACAGGCTGGGAGTGCTACAGCCAGTTTAGCATCTCCCTCAGCACAAGGTCTAGTTGGGAGAGTCAGTTTTACTTCCACTATATTTTACTTTCCTAAATGCTGGTCCAAGTAACTCAGGGCATTCACATAATTCATTTGCAATTTCGTTGCACTTTGAAATAAGGCTGTAGTTCATTTGATCAGTTATTACACTGTCTTGCTTGTAATCAGGATGGTTTGCGATAAACTCCCTCATCCATCTGGCGACTGTCATTAATTCTCCTGGAAAAAAATTTAAGACACTTTAAGTTAATAGTAGTGCTTTTTAAAAAATAAGTTGACACTGAGCCAGGATAAACTGAATCCTGAAGAAAAATCAGTTTGACCTTTCGGTGCAGCCAGATGGCAGGGGTTGGGAAAACATGTTTTCCAAGTGTCTGAAGAATTCCTCCTGGGACAGAATGTCAGGTTGCAGGCGGGCAACTAGAACACACATCCCGCTAGATGCTGCCCACAGTGACTGACACTGCCAATTTGTAAGAAACGGGAGCCCGCACGTGCTCTAGGGCATGTATCCTCCTATTTGGCTAGAAGGCGAAGACCACATTGCTGGCCGTGTCATGAGACTATCTCAGAGGATGGTAGGCTGCAAGTTTGTCAGAACGACCTTTGGTCAAAGAGAATGAAGAATAGTACGTAGAGTGAATGAAGAGAGAAACTGGCAGATATACCACTGGGGGTATATCCTTTGTGACTCCAGAAAGCTTACAGACACCTCAAGTGAAATTCAGATGCCATTACTACCATCATTGTTGCTTTTGTTCAGAGCTGACAGCTCCCCTGGGCATGGCCAATGTGATCTCCTCAAAGCTAACAGAGTAGGGGGTTCTGGGCGTGCTCACTGCATGCAGGCAGGCTGAAGACCCGGACACCCTAGCTGTGTTGCTTAACTTACAGAGTTACTTAGCCCTATAAAAAGAGCCCATGATGGTGCACAATGAACACAGCTGGACTTAGTGACAACTAGGTAATCTAGATACTGTACAGCATCGTCTACGATGCCATTGATTTAAAAAAGCACTGCTAATTAAACTATCAAATATTAGAAGGTGGATCTGACTGCAGAGATGTCAAAATGTGAAAAGGTGTGCATTGTAAATGCATCCTTTAAAAAACAACTTTAAGAAACTGAGTATTTTAAGACTGTGAGGTCCTGCCTCATAAGTTTTTTTTTGAGGAAGCAAAGGATACCATACCAGATGCTCTCTTCTTAATCAGCTTTAGGTAGTTGAGGATACTGCATCTGGTGTCCACATCCACTTCCATGTTTTCCAGGTAGGAGTTCAGAATGGGGATCAGCCCAGGAAACACGCCTTCCTGCAAGAAACAAGACAGCCGTGAGCTCGCTGCTGGCCCGAGTGGGCAGTGCAGTGCGCCCGCAGGCTCCCACCTTCCCGTTGATGATGGTGTCTATGCTCATCAGCGTGTACTCCGCAGCCGGCTCCGCACCGTGCTGGGTCCTGCCACAGCCGTCCACCACAGCATTGCCACCTGCTGGGTGACAGGGAGAGCAGCGTTAGTGGCCTATTGTAGCCTAAGTGACCCGAGAAAGCCAAGAGGATGAAATACCTTTGCAAATATCTTTTCTGAAGTAGAACATTCCCTGCAGGACAGCATCTCGTTTCTGTGCCACTTTCATGTTCTCATCAACCTAGGGGAGAAAAATAGCGAAGCCTAAGTCAGGACGTGCCTGACAAACAGAAGCAGGGCCTTCCTCGCTGCTGCAATCAGGACTCGCCCCCCCTTAAAAAATCTATCGTCCTCCGTGCTTTTGGTTGGGAGAGCAGACTTCTCACTTTTACGTAGGGCCTGTGTCACTCAACCACAAATTGGTATGTGCTTTTTAACAACAATGGGGAAATGCTAAGAGAAGCTTACCTTAAACAAAAAACAAACTTATAATCATGCCAAAGCATCTTTGTGAGTGAACCTTGCAAGAAACCCGTCTTGAGGTCAGGTGATTGGCTCCCTTTATACAGCACAGGACTCATCTAAGACCCCAGGTAGGGAAAGGCAGGGAACCCAATCCTCACTTCCAGTTAGGTGCTCTGCTCTCCCGCCACCCCAGGGGTTTTGCTGCCTCACTTTGTTGTCAGATCCAGACTGAGGTGAGCCCTCGGGAGGGGGGTAACCAATGCTGCTTGCCCAGCTGGTGGCCCTAGCCATGTCAACTTATTCATGAGACCAAGAACTCATTTGTGAATTCTCCATTTCTCCAATGACTTTCTTAAGGTGCACAAAGCAGAGCTTTTAAAACTTCTTAGTAGTCCCTTCCTATGATGAAATCTTAGAGGAATCTCAATATATAAAGACACAGAGTCACATTGAACTAGCATGGGCTGTACAGTGTTCCATTACTTAGCCTCTTCACCATATTAATTCCTATTGTTTTTTAAAGACACATATGACCCAAATAATCTAGATACTTCTAGGAGTATATTCAAAGAATAGTCTAAAATTCCACCATGGTTATGAATGTTTTCATTTCTATTAATTAAAAGTTAAGATCACTGTTTTAACATCTTCTTTTATGAATTCCTTTTTAAAAGTACATTTTACTATTGATCTTTAGACCCTCGATTTGACTGCTCAGGTTTGTTTATTTTCAATCTTTCTTTTAAAGCATATAATGGTGTGATTTTCCCTCAGAAACCAGCTTTGCCATTCACTTGCCTAAACAATCTGTAATTCTAGTTTTGACTTAATCTAAAGCCTATTAGGAAAACCATTTAAAATTTCCAATGGTTAAATTTATCTTCAACATCTTTATGTTTAATGTTGGTGGGAATGTACTATGTATGGTAAACAGATGTGCCCTGGTATGAGATTTGTTACGGATGCTACACAACCAAGCTTATTAACTAGGTCATTTAACTTCCCTGCAGCCTTTCTCATTCCTTGATTACGTGATCTGTCAGTTACTGAGTAACACTGGAGGTACTCTGTTTAGGGATTTACCTCGACTTCCACATGGCCTTAAAACAGCCACCTATCCCCATTCTACATGTGCAAACTGAGGCACTGACAGAATAAGTAACTTCCCCAGGTTAAAAGCTAGTAAGTAGTTCAAAAGATTTATGAGTTTAGTGCTCACACCAAAACTGCATCTTAACTTACCACACTACAGTGCCTTTAAATGCTTTTTATGCTTCTGAGAAATGTTGGCTACACTTTATGGTGTACAAAGAATTCACGAAGCTAACATCTTAGAAAAGCATAGAAAAGCATAGAAAACTGCTTTCTGTATCTCATTTAATACTTTGTCTCACATTTAATTTGTCATTCTGGTTATCTTTTCAAAAGGTCATCATGTAGCTCTCTATTTTCCACATCTGCCCTTATTTTAGGTATATCCTATGCAAACAACATCTGTCATTATTTTGCTATTTTATGTCACCGGTTTCAGCTTTTTAACAGGAGAATTTTTTTTTTATCATTTTATGTTCTCTGGGCTATCCTGTCTTACCACTCCCCTGATCCCACACCCACTTCTGTGGCATTAAGGACTATCTACCATCCCTCTCCTCCACTATCCCTTCACTAGTAAAGACTTCTGACATACTTTTAGCCCCAATAATCTATCAAGTTTTGTTAGAATTAGCTGGAATTTAAAGAAAAGTTTGGCTGGAAGACAATTTGATGGTTTTAATTCTTAACCCCTCAGGATTCTGAAGACTTTTCTAAATCTTTTTTAATATTTAATGTTGTAGATGAGAAGTGATATCAACTGGGGTTTTTTTCCTGTCTTGGAAGCTATCCTAATTTTCTCTCCTATCCGGACAGCTGATGTTTTTCTTTGATATTAAGAAAGTCCTAGATTTGGGTTCTTCTTTAAGTATTTCTGTCTCAACCTTAATGGACTTACAGGGAAAATTCTGTTTTATTTCTTTATTATATTTCACATCTCTTTTATATAGACCATTCTTTTCTTCTAAATTATTATAGGAACACCGAACTTTCCAGACTGATTCTCCGTAATTTCCATTTCTTTGCCATCTGCTGGGATGGATCTCAGTTTGTTTCCCTAAATCACTGTCTTTGATCTTTTTAAAACTGTGGCTACCATGTTCTTTGTTTCTAACAACTATTCTCCAAACATCTTTGGTCCACAATGCTTATTTCATGGATGTGACCATTCTCTAGAATTTATTCCAGGACACTACTTAGAATTTCTTTAAGAGTTCTTTCCAATTTCTTGAATTAACTGCTTCACTGAGAATAACATACTCTGTAGGCCCAGCTGGGCCCTTCTCTTTAAGGCCATTTTAAGTTCTTAGTTTTCTATTGACTTTCAGACATCTATTCCTATTTGTAAACAAAGGCTTAGACTGGTAGCTTACATGGGCTGTGCCTCAGGTGGGTTGCTCTCCCCAATAGGTATACCCAGTGGGCAACATCAGCCTACAGAATTCTATGGGTCCCCTTTGGCCCTGGTGAGAGAGCAGGCAGGGACAAGCTGACAGCCAGACTTCCCTCAGGGTGTGAGGGTGGGACAGGTGCACCTGGAGTACCCCTCTGCAGGGAGAGAGAGATGCTGGGCTAGGCAGTTTCTTCCTCCTTCCATGCTTGCTGCGAAAGGGCTGCTCTACTTCTCCTTTCTCTGCCCTAAACCTCATCAGACCCCCTGCTCTGCCTCGCAGCCTTCCCAGCCTCTTGTGCCACGACACCTACTGGCCCAGGAACCAAAGGCCTCTATTTGCTGCCTCACAGCCTGGAACTGTTCTGAGGCTCTGCCAGGACTGCTTCTAGAAGTTTCCCTTTCTGTTTTTTATTGGGCTGGGGCTGATAGTCCAATGGCATCTATACTCTCCAGAAACACCCCCAGTTCGGTCCCACTGAGGTGACTGTTTCCTGAACTCCAGCAGTTATGGTCCTAAAATTAGGATGGGAGGGGAAAGTATAACAGAAATGAGATTTTGGGGAAAATAAAATCACTCCAACCATCATCTTTCAAAGGGGCTGAGTAAGGAACTACTATTAGCACTTCTTTGGGGGGGGGGGG